GCGCAGGTGATTAGATGACCTACCCGATAACATATCAAGCCAGGTGAAAAGCAAGAAAAAAGGCAGAAAGGAATCTCTATGCCCTGCAATTATCAAAATAACAACCCCTTCATGTCATCATGCTGGAGAAAAACTTTAGCTGGACTTTAGCCTGTTTGGTTAGGAATCAAGTATTAATTTAGACCTCCCTGATGAACACGCTTTGTGAATCACCTACTGCCCTTCCAGCTGACTCGTCTTGATGTGACAACATTCCTGCAGGAAAACACACGTCCTTCTGCTTCAGACAGTTGAGTTTTAATGATCTGTGGCATCTAGGGCTCAGAGACCAGTGAAAAGGATCACGCTTGTCTAGGCTCTATGAGAGGAATGGGTCTCCCACAAAGCAGCATTTTCAATCTGACACCATGCATGTGTCCCAGATATACAGTTTGTATTGCTTCCAACATTGGCCTTGCACGTCATTAGCCTGTGACTTTCACGGTAAACTCCCTGTTGATAAACACAATACATTTGCTGGTTATGGGCAAGCAATAACACATCACATTTTACAAATGTTACAACAATATTTAGCTCTCTTTCTGATATCTTTCCTAGTTTGTTGCAGTCAGGAGTGATGTATTTATTTTAATGCTTAGTGTATACTGTACTTAATAACAGTATTTAGCCAGTAATTACACATTTTAGTAATTAGACGTATTTTAATTACCTGTTACGTAAAAGGGAATGCTGAAAAAAGTTAACTGTAGTGTTGTCAGGCCAGAAAGGTTGAATCCATGTTGATCAGAGCACTTTGAGAAAAACTTTTAGCATCACACCTTAAACTTGAAACATATTAATGTGTAAATTTATCAATAAATCTTTGCTGATGTGTCTATAGGTGTTTAATAACCTTAAGCAGCAAGCCCACAACACTGATCAGCAAATTAGTGACACTGGTTAACCAAGTCTCTATATCCTTGGAAGAAGGGAAGAAACTGAAACCTCTAGCACATAATCCATATGAACATGGCATGGGAAGAAATTCCGCACTCCACAGAGAAGTCTCCCAAGCCTGGAATCCCAAAAGATGAATCCACAGAGTCATATTTTCACCCTTCTGAAGAGAAACTCTTCCAGCAACTGAGTATGGTATTAGTAGTCCAGTAGACTCTAAAAACAACCTTCCAGTATAATTACAGAAATACAGTAATGTAGGACATGTTGTGTTTTGGAAACCACATTACATCAGAGTCAACATTCGCTGTCTCCGTAAACTTTCAGCTGGAGCATTGATGTTGATTTATATAGTGTTTTCTGAAATACAGGCCTGCCTACATTCCCTGTATCCTATTTCGGTTTAAAGCCTAAGGCAGCGCAGCTCAGTATGTGATGGTTTGCTCAGCTGGGGCTGTGTCTTTGGGATGTTTCAAGTTGGAATGATGAAAGGTTCTATGTAATTCTCTTTATTTTTTGCACCAATGAAATATCCATTTGATGCTTTCTTTCAGTAAATGTACAAAATGATGTGTCTCGATTCCTGTTCTATAATACCTGGTGTGAACAGTGAACGTTTTGATCCGGAGAACAGCCCGTTTGCCCCCAAACTAAACCTGACAATCGGGATTGTCGCCAACAATGCTTTTGTTTGGCAAAAAAAGGTGTGAAGCCTCAGGTCCTTGCTTATAATCTAGCGCTTAAACAAATGACTCGCAATCAATCAAATGTTAATAAAAAAATAAAATAGTTTATATTTAAAAAGATGAAAATATATAAACCTATATTTCAGATTTGCACACAGGCTTGTCTGAAACATGTAAAGCTGAATAGGATACATCCATGATTAAGCATGGTAGCCTTATACTCCTGAGAGTGTAAAAGCATGAGTGCTTTTCACCTCTGTGAAAGCACGTCCTGACATGTATAGTATACCTTTTCCATTTTGTCATGTTGTATTCTAGCAACAGAAGAAGGACACACTGTTAGTGTTATTGTACACACACTTATATTTTGCTATACTGTTTTAAGGACAATCTTGTTGTAGGTGCGTAAGGGCTTACCTTTTCATGTCTTTATATCCGTTTACAACCCAGCGCATTGAACAAAGAAGCCCTCCTGTGATGAACCCAGCTTCGTCACGGCACCCCTGTTGCCATGGAAGCCCATTTCAGCTCAGCACACAATAAACCAAACAACAAAGGCCCTGGGTTCAACTGTAAGGCACGTGCAAGAAAAACAGCAGATAGAGAAGGATGTCTTGTGAAAACAAAAGACGCAAGCCCAAACAATTGCACGTGAACAGTATAGACACAAAAGCCAAATAGAGACATGCTGGATCAGAATTGAGGGTCTTTGATGGCTGAGAGGAGCTTGTGTGATATTGCTTGGGGGGTGATACTGATTAAACGTTTATAGGAGATACCGCTCTTCATATGAGAAGCTAAATTGAGGTCCTGTACATCATACTGTTGCTTTACCAAGTATATAACAGTCACTTTGTAATTCTTTTTGTTCCAAAACTGGATAAACCATTAGCCAAGCTTCTGTAAACATGCCAAGACATTCTAATTACGAAGTCAATTTATTGAGACACTCTCTCGGTGGACCAAAATCTAATACATCTTAACGGCATTTCCGATCTTGAAAAACAAAACTAGCTATTTGATTAGACACGTTAAAGCATCACTCAATGAAAACAAGTAAATATTTTTTCCGACCACATTTAATATTAGCAGTTCTAACTTTGCTAATAAATAAGTTTACTACTTGGAGCAATTTCACAAGATGAACATCAGTAAAATGTCTTCAATAGTACTCAATGATCAATATCAGAGGATGTGTCAACTATGACAGGAAATGTGGCCCAATTAATGAACTCATTCTATTTTGATCGATAGAGTTAGATAAAGACTGGCCAGGAAAAAGAAATGCGAAGAGGCAAAAGGTTTTTCAGCTTCAGGTGGTCAGGTACACTGTTGATCATAAGTCCTATGTATTGATCAGAGATTGTTTGTTTAAAAATTTGAAATTATTATTATGATATAGTTCGTTCCGATCATTGTATGAATGTAGGCATCAGAGCAACAATTGTTATCAAATTGCAAATATTATTGTCCTTGATCTTTGTAAGATTAATCTCTTATCACTTAATCATGAATTACATAGTAAAGGTCATTTCCATATCTGAATGACAGTGGCTCATTGGGCCAGAGCTTATCTTGGTATCTGTGGTGTGAAGTGGACCCTCTGAATGGAATGCTGAATCATATAGGACAGGAAAACATATATATTCAAGTAAGACACATACAACACAGGGCCATTCATTTAATTTTGCTTATTTCATTTCCTTCTAATGTACTCAACCAAGATTTTAATCCAGGTGTTTCTTGAAAGAACTAAGGGTGTCCACCTTCAATAGTTCTGAGTTGGTTTGGTCGTCACCCACTGTATATGTGTAATAGTAAACCTACTATTCATCCATTCATCCATTTTTTCTAACTGCTTGATCTGATTTATAGTCACGAGGAGTTGGTGTCTGTCCCAGCAAGCACCGGGCAGGATACATCCTGGACAGGATGCCAGTCCATCGTAGGGTAGACACACAGACACAAGCACAGATACTCACACACTTGCACCAAGGCCAAGTTTCCCAGAAGCCAGTTTGCCTACCGGTATGTCTTTGGACTGTAAGAGGAAACTGGAGCTCTCAGAGGAAACCCATATGATGTGGGGAGAACATACAAACTCCACAGAGATTGAACCCCACGTCTGGAATGAAACTGCTAACCACTGCACCATCTGCCACCCAGAACCTTCTTTTTTCAATACTTAATGGACCTAAGTGATAGAAGAGCATAACACCCAGCTTGGATTTAACAGGCAGGCAATGCAAACAATTTCAAAGCAGTAGAACAGTTTCCAATGAACCTTTTAAAATTGTCTATTCGCTTTGACTAAAAAAATGTCCAAATGAAGAAAAGAATGGAACAGAGTGTATTTCATTCTGAGGATCTGACACTTCTCAGAACACAGTGAATGAACATGAAAATTCATTTAAACGAAACAATGCAATAAACAAATGAGCATTCTGAATCCAGGTTTTTTCCAACTAAATAATTTATAATTATATGCAATGTCCTAACTACGTTGTTACCCCCAGTACGGTACTGTACTGAGCCTATTTAATGTAGCATGAAATTCATTATATACATCACTCAATTTTCAGTACTGCTTTTTACTATGATGTATTCGTTGATATAGAGTGCACACAGTGCCATGGCCAGCTTGGGATATGACATACAGCAGAAGCTCAAACCTCCAATGTCACCCTGTCTATATTATAGTCTTGTGCCTGATCATATTAGAAACAGATGTAGGATTGTAGTCAAATGTAGCATTGAATTATAATTGTTGATTAATTACTGTTTGTATTTTGCAAATATAAAATAAGTGGGAAACAATGTGACATTTTTCACAGTATTTGATTTAATGTACTCCACATGCAACATGGATACAGCCAAAAATTCTGTCCAAATCATTTTTTAACAAAATATTGAGTATTGCTGAGTATTGCTGAGCAGAGCGACATAAATCCTAATGACCCTCTAATGATATTTACTATTGTATCATGTTGATCGAAAAAAATACATTTTAACTGACGTTCAACATTAAAGGATCTATATAAGATCACACACTAAGAGAAACTGGCTGACTTTTTAAACATAAGTTTCTACAGTTTTTGAATGTGAGTGGGTCTGTTATTGAAGGCTATTAATGAAGTTGACATACATATAGAATCCACTCTCAGTTAATGAAAGAGTCGGTGAGTTTGTTGGTAGTTACTGGCCAAGTGCTTTGTGTTTGTGCCTTTCAGTTACGTGTAAAAAGGTGTTGAACTGTAGTGTAGTCTTGGAGTTTGGCCTTAATTTCGGAGGACAATTGTGTTGAGTTAACCCCTAGTTTCCAACAACAAACCTGGTTGCCAAGGAATCCACTCCCAAAGGACTATAAATATAGCCTTCCATGCCTACCATCATACACAGTCTTCTCATTTCGAATCCTAGACTTCGGCTTGCAGAAAGAAAAAGTCAAAATGGTGAGTTAAAAACTTTGCTTCATTTTTAATTTGTTAAAAAATGTAGCCATTGGTAGAGCTAAAATCAGGAGATCTGTTAAATCCTTCACTTGAAACAATTGAGGAGCTTCTCTTCATTATTTTTCTTTCAGATGCTTTAAGTAAAACATATAATGTACGCTGAAATGAGAAGGAAACACAACGTTTCTTTCTTCTCTTTTCAGCATGGGATAAACCTATAACTTGTTCCTTTGCAGCCTTCGCATGCTGACGCAGCTCCCCACCTGAACATATAATGTACTGTTGTTAAGGTTGTAAAGCTAGTGGAATGTATCAAAAGCTTACCTCGAAATAACTGTTCACTTAAACTTGTCTGTTTTCCTTTGATTGTGTATTTTAAAGTTCACGAAACTGTCATAGTGACCCATAAAAATGCAGTTTATTACTCTGTGATGCAAAACTGATAAAGAAAAATCTTGCCATTCCACAAATGGCGCTGTGGATGATCGCATTGTGTGAAATTCAACAAATCCAGCCATGTTATCAAGTCATACATTCTGATTTCTGCTCAAGAAAAAAGTGCCATGAGTAGATTTTGGTTTGCTAGAGGGAGAATTTCCAAAACCATTCCTCATTTACATTATTGAGCTGGCAACAACTTTACAACAGCTGAAGACCTGTCTGAGCAGGTGTGAAACTACATACTAGGCTAACTAGTTCAGGGTTTACATATTAATCCCTCCCAGTTTGCTACTGAAAATACAGACTGAAATGATTAATTTAATCAGTAGGTTGCTTGTAATCCAGCACTTTACCATGAGAACAATACATGGTAAGGCATGATATACCTTGGGAAACTATGACAAGGTAAAATAAATGTTTATATATTTATTAAAACCTCATGTAAACTAGAAAATACCATACATATTGACTGTTGATAGTGGATAGTATCAACACTTTCCAGCTCGCTTTGATTCTACGTGTTTCATGCAACAATGTATTAAGTCACTAACCAATTTTTTTCCTGTATTCTTAAAATGGAAAAACAGCACTAGAACATCTGAAAAAGGGTTTTGAAAGTGTAAAAATGTGTTGACGAAGGATTCCATCCTTTCACGGAATGTGTCAGCAATGGAATCATTTCGCATAAGTATTAACACTATTTGCTCTGCACACTTCCAATTGGTGAACTTTAAGCAGTCTTCCAAGGGTGTGCTTGCACCAATAGCTAGTCTGAAAGCTGACATAATGAAGCCTGAGCTGAAATACACAGAACTTTCTTCTACATCTAAACAGATTGCAGTCCACCATAAAACCCATCTTTACGGACTCTTTTGCTATAGCTGTAGGGTCCTTTACCCATAACTGTACAAAAAGTAAAACACAAAATGAAAAGGATAGCAATATTTTGTTTTCTTTGCAACAGGCACTTTTTTTCTTATTGGTGATATCATTGATGAGGCTGTGAGGACCCAGATTCAGTGTGTCTCCTCTTTGTTTCTCTGTAGCGTGAGTGTATCTCCGTACACGTGGGCCAAGCTGGTGTCCAGATGGGCAATGCCTGCTGGGAGCTGTACTGCCTGGAGCACGGGATCCAGCCTGACGGCCAGATGCCCAGTGACAAGACCATCGGAGGAGGAGACGACTCCTTCAACACCTTCTTCAGCGAGACCGGGGCGGGCAAACATGTCCCCCGGGCTGTGTTTGTGGATCTGGAGCCCACTGTCATCGGTAAGTGACGGTTGTCCAAAAATGTATACAGTCTGCATTGTATACTGCAAATGTATACAGTCTGTATACAGAAACAAAATAGCATACATTTGAATTTTCTGTCCAGGTAGTCAGACATACGGTTTAACCACAAACAGCTTCAGATCAACAGCATAAAAACCAAGTATTTTCTCCCCGCGTTAGTATCTCCATCACTGTTCTTTTGAATCTGGCAAAAAAAACACACGATTTTTAATAGTTTAACAAAACTTAGTTTTAAAGGGATCCTATATATATCCTATTTATTACTTTGTGAAAAAAAAACTGACATGAGGTACATGTTTTATTTTTCTGTGATTTCAATTAACATCTCCTCTTCTTTCAATCTTCCAAATTCGTCTTTTGTAGCCACCTACTTTACTTTAAATTATAAGTGGCAAAAAAATGGAAAGTAGTGACAACTGTCCTCTGTTTTAAGAGGACATAGAAAAGAAACAAAAGTATGACATAGAAATTGAGAGAATTACAAATTCTGCACTCTTTGCACTAAATAATTGACCTTTAACCAGTCACACAACCACTCCCGAATCCTTCATAGTATAAAATATTACACAGTTTTCCCTTGGCAAGAGGGGACATTTCCCACGATTCAAAGTGTCTTCTCCCCTTTCTAATATGTCTGTTAGATCAAAAAGTCTGTAACGATGCGTAGGTCAGGACCCTATGCAGACGGTAAAATCCGGAAGAGACTGGAGGAGGGCAACAGGTAAACATGACAGGATCAGGACGGGATGACTGACAGGGGGGCGTGGCGGCAGTGTTCTGGTGCTCAGGTGGCGTGGCACAGGCGTACAAGTCCAAAACTATCCAGAAGGGGAAACCAGGAAGCAGTCCCAAAGTCCATAGCCGGGAGATCCATCCAAAAGAAAAACTAGACAAGGATAAAAACCGGAACGGGATCCGGTGCAGGGAGAGGGAATAAAAATGGGATCACGAGGCCAGGCGCGCTGAGCCCCGGACTCAGCTGGGTCAGGACACCTATTGGAGGTCTATGCCCTCAAGCTGCGGACGTAGGGCAACTAGGCGGGCCTCCGGGCGTCCGTCTTCCAATGCAGAGCCGGGGGTAGCGAGAGCGCCCGGCTTAATTATGGAGGGGCATGATTGGGGGCAGGTGCACATGATCAACCAAAATGTGAAAGAGTCGGAGCTCCCTTAAGAGGAGGGATTACAATCGTGAGTCTCCGCTTATTTGCAATCTTTCTTATGCTCTTCTTTAATTCCCTAGACGAGGTGCGCACAGGTACCTACCGCCAGCTGTTCCACCCCGAGCAGCTCATCACTGGCAAGGAAGACGCTGCCAATAACTACGCCCGCGGGCACTACACCATCGGCAAGGAGATCATCGACCTGGTGCTCGATAGGATACGCAAGTTGGTGAGGCATTTTGGTTATACATTTCTGGCTCAATTTAATCTGTAAAGATTTTCAGATTTTACATGAA